AAAAAACGCCGTCAACGGACGCTTCGGCTCATCGACCAAAGTTTGGGGCTTTATGCACTTGAAGCGTTTTCCTCCCCACAAAAAAAAAGAATAAATAAATGTCAGAGCGATGATTGAAATACACCGCTGTCACACTTGGGCTCGGGGGTCAGGTCTGGCTCGCCATCAACTTCCACGATTCTTGCTCAAATCTAGCGCAATGTCGCATTGTCGTCTCTGATTTCTGCCAATCTTCACATCCCGCGACACATTTGTCATTGCCAAGCCCCTCTTTCAGTAGCTCGAGCCAGTGTCATGCCATTCGAAAGAGACTTAGCCATCAAATTGTTGTGTATATGGAACGTGATGAGAAAATGGATTTCTTTTCACTGTCATGGCAGCCCGCTGAGGCAAACCGCGACTGCAATGTAGCCTGCGACAATTTGCAGTTTGGATTCAGGAATATATCGCGAGAGCGGCGTGGGCATGAGGACTTTTAGAGCCGTTTGCCATGCGCATGTGATGGACCAGAACCAGTTGCTGACGCTGAATCAACTTGTTTGGGCCTTTTCTGCACATTTTTGGCATAATGGGGTGGAAAGGGAAAACATTCAAAAAAATCCGATTTATAGATGAATTGATATTTTACACAATCACGAGTTGCTTTCTTTAAAAAAACAAAAAAAGCAGCTCTTGGTGCTGTTTCATTGAGGCCTAGAAGGACTGCACGAGTGGACTCAAAAGCGCTTTGCCTCCTTGTGTGCCGCAGATGCGCAAGGGTGCCCCCGCGTGAAGGAGGAGGAGGAGGAGGCGGCGGCGGAGCAAGCGGACGACGCCGACCTCGGCAAGCTGGCGGTGACGTGCGTCGTGGTCAAGAGCGAAGACGAAGGGCGAGCCGAAAGTGAGGAGAAGACGGCGTCGGACGGCGACGCCGCCGAGCGGGAGGGCGCCGGCGGGCTCTTTGCCTGTCCGCGGTGCGACAAAACCTACGGCAGTCGAAGACATTTGAAAAGACACGCCAAGAGTCACGCCGACGCGGAGGGCCTCCCACCCCGCGGGGAGCCCGGGGCGCCGCCGGCCCAAGCGGAGCCCCCTTTCTCGTGTTCCGCGTGCAACGTGACCTTCAAGTTCCAGTCCACCTTCCTCGGCCACATGAGGAAGCATTCGGGCGGCAAGTCGTTCCCCTGCGGCGTGTGCAACGCCACCTTCCGCTTCCGCTCCACCTTCGTCAACCACATGAGGACGCACACGGGCGAGAAGCCCTTCGCCTGCCAGGTGTGCAACGCCAGCTTCGGCGTCCACTCGTCGCTCTTGAGGCACGCGCGGCTGCACACGGGCGAGAAGCGATTCGCGTGCTCCTTCTGCGACAAAAAGTTCCCCCGAAAGGCCAGCCTGGTGGAGCACGTGAGGATCCACACCGGAGAGAAACCGCTGTCGTGTTCCGTGTGCCACATGAGCTTCAGGTTTCATTCCAAGCTGGTGAAACACATGCGAAGTCACAAGGGAGACCAAGCTTTGGACTGTCCCGCCTGTGGCCAAACGTTCGAGTCCAGGCTGCGGCTGGACAAACACGCGTGCGCTGGCGGCGAGAGCGGCCGCGCTCAAACTCGCTTCAAGGTGTAGATTTCACCGTCGCCGCAGAGAAAGACACTTGGGAGCGGATTTTGGTTGACCTCGCATTTCGAAAATCGTGTGTGTGTGTGTGTGTGTGTGTGTGTGTGTGTGTGTGTGTGTGTGTGTGTGTGTGCTTCAGGTTTCATTCCAAGCTGGTGAAACACATGCGAAGTCACAAGGGAGACCAAGCTTTGGACTGTCCCGCCTGTGGCCAAACGTTCGAGTCCAGGCTGCGGCTGGACAAACACGCGTGCGCTGGCGGCGAGAGCGGCCGCGCTCAAACTCGCTTCAAGGTGTAGATTTCACCGTCGCCGCAGAGAAAAGACATTTGGGAGCGGATTTTGGTTGACCTCGCATTTCGAAAATCGTGTGTGTGTGTGTGTGCCTTAAATGTCCCCCGGCCCAAAATAAAGTTTGTTCAATTTGAATTCCAACGCTTGTCCATCAAGTCAACTCCCAGCGTACACCAATGAAAGCAAAGACTTGCCACACGACAGAAAAAAAAAAGTTGAATCTCACGTTCGGCGTGATACATTTCACGTTTGAATGTCTGACGTTGTCGCATTCAAAACGAACAAAGGTTCGCGTGTGGGTGACCGGCTCTGATCGGAGAATGGACGTTTAGTACGAGTTCATTGGTGAGCTTTCGCTCGGCTTAGCGCACGCAGCCACTTTGTCGTCGCCCCGACATTCATTGGCCCGTTATTTTGGTCGTCTTTTTGACACAATAGTATTGAAGACATGCTAGTGCAAGAGAACAACTTGCTTGAGAATTTTTCTCATGAAGTCACACGACTGCAAGCATGTTCAAAACGAGGGAGAAAGAAATACTGCACTGTATTCCGGCTTGGGAAGCATTGAAAGGCGCTCTTCCGAAACGACCGCCAGGTGGCGGCCGCGAGCCAAAAAGCGGGTCTCGAAAGCGACGAAGAAGAAAAGGAGGGAAGGCGACGAAGAAGTCCAATTAGCGGCACGCTGCTAAACGGAACCGAATTTTCTGGTAAAAGCCCCCGTTTTTTTTTTTCTTTGCTACTTTTGTGCGGTATCGGACTCGTTTGCGGTCGTCGTCTCGTTCATCCAAGCGAGATACGACATTGCGATCGATCGCGAGCACTTTGCAGCGACTCCCGCTAGCTTGTTTAGCCTGCTAGCTGCGAACAAAGAGCGGCGGACGCGAGCGGCGCCGGCCGTGAGTGGCGAAAAGTCTTCTTGCTTGCTTGTTTGCTTGCTCGGTCGGCGATTAGCGCGCGACGATGTGTAAAGTGAAAATGCTGCGAGCTCTGGTGAACCAGCGGCTGAATGCGGCCGTGGAGGAAATCTTTGTGGTGTTGGAGAGAACCATCAGCGAGTACGAGGACGAACTTTCGCGAACCAAAGAGGAGAACCTGCGACAGCGGCAACTTTTGGACGCGCTCATGGAGGCGAGCGCGGCAGGTTGGTTGGCAATCGTGGCAACGGGACACTTTGGGGGCCGCTTCTGCGGCGTGTCTTTGCAAGACTTTAAGGTCACTTTTCCTTCTTGCTTGTTTTTTTTTCCCCCTCTAGTGGGAGAGACGTTGGCTTCAGGTGAGCACTTAGTCCGCATCCTGCTCGTGAGGTAGCCGCCTCTCCACCCAGCTGCCATCCTTTGTCATTTTCCCACCCCGCCTCCATTCAGACGCCTCTCGCTCTCTTTCCTCATTGATTTGTCTTTTTTTAGGATCTCAATCTGCCAGGAACTTTTTACCCGTAGTCAAGTCAGATTGCAAGAGTCTCGAAGACACGGTTGAGGCGAGGGGGAGGAAAAACTCAGAACCTCATTTAAGCGGGGGCGCCGGGGACCGCACGCCTCCCAAGATGACACGGATGCCGAGTGGCCGACACGTCAAATGGTCCGACGATGTCGACGAAAACGGCGTCAGAGCCGACTCGGCGAGGTCAATGAAAGAAACGCTTTCAGGAAAGCCGTCCCTCCGTGGAACGTTTTCGAAACCAAACGGCTCTTGAGACGAAATGCGAGTAACTGAATCCAAACAAAGTCAATGGCAACCTTGAGGAAAATCTCAAGCCATTGTAGGAATGACCACGGGTAGTCCGTGCTCCTTCTCGGCTCAACGCAAACAAAAGCAGGGCGGGCGGGGC